GAAATCCTATTATGTAGTTCTGTTTTTAAGTACACGGGCGAACAGTCTGATCTTTCTAATTATCGACCTATTACCTCTCTTTGACAAAGTAATTGACGCTCTCATCTACTTCGAATTGGTTAAGCACCCCACCTCCAAGGGTCTTTCCGAAAAACTTTAAAGCTTTCGCGTCTCTCGGTCAACTGCTGATACTTCAACGGTTATCGCTGAAAGGCTTTCAAGCTTTTGATAAGAAAGGTGAACTTCGGGCTGTTGTATTGGATATCTTTAACAGAATATGCCATATTGGTATTCTTTGATGGTTCAAGGTTTATAGGATTTCGGGAGAATGTTTTTATTTATTTCAGACTTTTTTTTTTTATCAGATTGCAAAATGAAAATTCTCTTGGACAGTTATTGTTTTATGTAGATACCTCGCAGGGCTCTATCCTTAAATCTTTTTTTTTCTAATTTTCTTCAACACCCATCACGATGGCATCAGTTTTCAAATCTGTATCCATGGCGCAACTATTTACTTCTGCCTTAATAGTTAGTCTGTTTAGTTCGATAAGGTCAAATTTGAGGTTGATATCAAAAATGGATCTCAATTTTTTCTTAACTGAAGACACGAATGGCCTGTTAATTTAAAAAACTCTTTTAAAGTCGTCGTAGAGAACCTTTGTTGCGTTGACTGGCGCCAACCTTTAGGAGAACGACTCACTGCACCTTTTCGGGTTAACCATTAAAATGTAGTGGTATAATTATATTGAATCAATTACTACGTTTTTTGTTAGAAAAGCTGGTTAACTGTATCGTTCTGGACAATTTTGTCGTCATCTATCTTGTACCTTTATAAGTCTACCATTCGTCCATACATAGAATATTGCTGTCACGTCTGCTCTGCGGTTCTGCTATGTATCTGGAGATTCTTGAACAATTTCAAAGAATAATCTACAAATCTATTGGTCCTGACCGGGCATCTTGGCTTCAGTCACTCTTTCATTGTCTAACGTAGCTTCCCTGTGACTTTTCTAACATTTTCATGGTAACTCTGTTCTGATGACGTTTTTTCTTTAATATCTCGGCTTTTACGAATTTAAGTGCAGTACTATATTGCGAGCCTAGTCTCATTTTACAGTTGAAATTATAAGTTCTATGCATTCAATTTCTTCTCACGCACTTTTCCCTTATGGAATTCTTTTCCGGTTTCTTGCTTTGCAGCCAATATTGATCTTCAAACATTTAAATGAAATGTTAATCGCCATGTTCTGTTTCTTTGTAACATGTTCTTTTATTGTCCTCTCTCTTTAATAAGGATTTTTCTCTGATTCTTTAACTCTCAGTAATCACTTGCGTCTTAGTAGCTTTATCCCCTTGCAATGCACATACTCTGCACTATAAAAAATATCATAGCTTCAATCAACAATACATGAAACATTCAACAGGGAAGTATTTGCAGACACAAAATGCCAAGTGATTAAACATGGCGCAAAATATTGATCTATTTTCATATGTTCAACGAATGTTATCGAATTAATTTGGTAATAATCAAAATTTATATTTGATGACAGAAGATCTAACCTGAAACCTAACATTTAAATAAATCTATTTTTGACAATAGTTTATTTTAAAATTTTTTAGACAAAAGCGTACATTATCAGGCTGCAATTGATGTAACTTTAACTAATATCACAAGGTACCAAACCTTGTAGTATTTTGGAAAGGGAATTTTTCAACTGAACGATCGCTGATTACTAATATTTACTAATGCCTCAAGAATTAGCACAATTTATTGTATGTCAACTTTTTAATAATCTGTCTAGAATAGAATATAAGGGATGGGAATAGGAAAAGCTATCAAAGTAATACATATATCACCAGATGATCTACGAAATATCTTTTTTTTCCAGACATTCAATTCAGTATATACGAAAAGATAATTTTTATATTGATGGGAATTAAGAAAATAGGTAACAAATAAGCAGTTCTACTTATTTGCATTTATTTTTGATTTTATATTTGGCTATACATCATAAAAAGTAGATCTTTCTCGTACAGAATATTCATGTTCAGGAAAGAATGCTAAAATGAGCATAGAAAATATCAAATAAAAAACATCTTAAACACAAACGTCTTAAATTGTAAAGTCTACAAGTAAGATATGTTAAAATTGAAAATGTTAGTTTAATTTGAATTCATATCCTTTTCTCTCTTTCAAGAAAATCCTAATTAAATGTCATTAAAGATTGGGGTTATGGTCAATATTCAATCATTCCTTATTTGAAACAAATTCAAATTTATAATTTTACCGGACAACAAAACGTATGAGAAATCGAAAAAATATTGTCTTATATACTGAAATAACGTGAAACTCTCAAATAAATCTAACAGGCAATAGTAAAAATTATTAATTCGAATTCTTTACATTAACAATGAACATAATTAGCAAGACAACATTAAAGAATATAAATCTTATTAACTTTTAGTATTCAATTTTATCAGTCTCCTATTTCGTTTTTAGAAATGGTGGACAGAGCTTTTCAAAGGAATTGCTTAGGGTTTTCGCCATAGAAGTTTTACACTGAAAATTACCTTTTTTCACAGGCAGTATTTTTGTTTTTAAGTCTAATTATGGATTTATAGTTTTAATTTACATGAAATAAAATAAATGACTAGATCAAAAGCCTAACAGTCAGTAGTCTTAAGTTCTGTAGTAAAACGGCATGGGTACTTTAATAAGTAATTGTTTCACTTTCGATTTGCGTTGAAAACGATACCGTTTTGTGGAAGAAAGAATAAACCGTGTATTAGTTTGCATCAGGCGAACATGCATGTGAAGTTTAATTTCTTGTTAAAAATGAAAATAGATGAAAGCTAAGAAGAAACATGCTCCAAATCCAATTAGTTTAAGGAGGCAAATAGCAAAAGATAACAGAATTAAGGGCGATTAAGAAAGAATACAAATTGTTAAATCTATAGGAAAGGCGGTTTAATCAAACGTTGACATTAAAAGGATTTCGGAAGTACATCAGAAAAAATTCAAACTTTTGCTGAAGAGGCTGTACTGTTAACTTTCTTATATCAGGGAATCGTTTTAAATTGAGAAATGAAGCCGATTTAGAGTAAAAAAAAACAGAAAGAAAATCCCTCTATATCTTGTCTAACTTAAGATGACTTGTTCATTGCATATGATTACAGCTGATTCCTTCCAGCGAGTATGCGAGTTGATTTGAACGCCTTTGAACATTACTGAAGTGAAAAATTGAAGTGTTTATCTTGTCACAAAAATGACGATGTTTCTAGGAATATATTCAGCCACTTTTAAACCGATTCATCGAAAAACGTACACTAAATAATCTCTTCGTTTCGTCTTCTGTGAAGATTAGACACTTGAGCAACATTGAACATTGGCGTCTTTTCCTTCAGTTATTCGAATAGCCTTCAGGCTGCCGAGTTGATTTTTATCGAATCCTGAACGGTGATTTCCAAAAGAGGATGAAAAGCGAGGTCAAATACTTATTTTCCTACAACCATTCAAACGTATGCTTGCAAAAGAATTAACAGTAACATTCTGTAAAAGATCGAGGCCTACATTGCATAGAAGTTGTTACCAAAAATTTATGTAATGCGTAAGTTATTAAATTATAGAATTTACAACGGTATAACATATTGTATCAGGGAATAAAATACTTTTTTTTAATCATTTCACATCAATCAAGACAATAAAGCTACTAATACAGAAAGGGTTAAACAGTGTTAGAGAATATGAAAAAGAAAAAAATATTATTAAGGATAGCAAATACTAAAAGAACAAGAATTAAAAAGACTGTAGATAACGATTGACATTGCATTTAGATTTTTGAAGATGAAAGTTTACAGTTAAGCAGGAAACTGGAAGATAAATCCACTAAGGAGAAGTTCGAGAGAAGAAACTGTTAGCACAGAAATTACGGTTACATTTTATTAACTTTAGAATAGCATTTCATTCAACTTATTCAGTTGCATTTTGTTTATTTAAACACTTATTCTAGGAATATTAAATTATTATTATCTACTAGTTTTAACTCGTAATAATTACACGGCTTTCCTAATTGGAATTTCTGGTGAAATTTAATTTTTCAGTTAATGATTGAATAACCTCATAGCGAGTTCTAAGACAATAAAATATTAGTAGAAATTCCACTATAACATCATTAAATATTTGAGCTTAACATCTTTAACAAAATAATGCAATCATAAATATGACTGCTGGTCGTTATTTTAAAAAGAAAGGAGTTACAAATAAAAAAAAATTGAAACTGACAACTTTTTTCCTTTTCATTTTAAACACTACGTTTCCTTCTTTCTTTCATTTCCTGGATGAAACCAAGCATCCTTGATAATTCTTTTGTATTCTCGCGCGAGCAAAACGGAATAATCCTTTATTTTTATGAGATTATTAGCAAGTAAAGCTAAACATTTCTCTCTTTCTTACATTTCTTCACGGAAACCAAGTAACGTCTCTGATGTCTCTTTCGTCTTTCCACTCGATCAAAACGGAATAGTCCATTATTTATGAGGTATTGGCAGCGCGTACCGGTCGCGCGAACTAAGGAACTAACGATGGCAGGGACAAGAACAATTATATGATGCTACTTAACGGTTCTTTAATAAACAGTAAACCAATATTGTAAATAATAATAATTATAATAATAATAATAACAATAATAATAAGATAAGCCTGTTATATCTTATTATTGCAAGATATAAAGAAGCAAATACAAACTAGTGAAATTAATGAAAACTTATGAATATTAAGTAAATAAATTAATTCCATTGTATAAAATTTGTACAGCGATATTTACACGACTGAGTAGTGAGTTCGATCCTCACTGGGTGCCTCATACTTTGGGCCTTGTGCCACATCTAAGCTACGCTTGGAAAATCACTATACAAAAATGAGAATACAAGTCTCCATGTAAATAGTGTAAATAATGATAACTCCTTATCCCAGAATTTCAGAAGTTTTACAGTCACATTATACGGAAATACCAGTATCCGTACGATCATCGAAGTTAAGCAACTTCGCGTTTGGTCAGTACCTAGTTGGGTGACCGCTTGAGAAATCCAGATGTTATAAGCTTGGATGTCCGTGTGGTATAATGGATAATGTCTCGAAATTGTATCGAGGAGTTCCAATTCCTGTTGGGTTTGTTATATTTACTTATGCTCAAATAACCTCGTGAAAGCTATGAATTCACGTCTTCTCTTCCCCCCAGCTATGGGTTAATTAGTTAAACTTGTGTCACTAAACCATTATTATCTAAAAAAATTCTTACAATGTAAAATATTTCCTGGCTTGCAAAGCGTTGATATTTTCATAACTTTCAAAGGGTGGATAAACAGTAAAAAATCAGATCAATCAGAAATTCAGATAGAAACTGATCGCGCAATGCGAAATTCTTTTACATATAAAATCTATTGATTCTATGAGATTTTATTTATGTATCATTTAACCATTATATAACATTTACAATATTTCCAACTATAAACACACGCCTAAAACATTACGTCGCTAACTTTCTTTAAAACTATTCTTAAAGAATCTAACTTATATCTATCTAATGCAAAGAATACATTCTTAAAGAGGTCAACCATAAATTAGAATCTTTTGGCACCCTGGTGCGCGGGTTGACTGCACAAAAGTGAAGCTAGAACTCCCACTAGACAGACACACATACACAATTAAAATACAGGTTACAATCCGGTGCACAATAAGACATACAATAAGACATACATTAATCATCGCAAAACTACATACATATATCTTTGGTTTCAATACCCGTGACTCGTGTGTGATCAATGAGAGCTGATCCAAACATAATTGAAAATACCAGTGTTTCTATCTTTTTCTTTGGTTTCCCTCAATCTCTAGCGAATCTTTAATAAAAGTAAAACATGTTAAATTGACACACATTTCCTGTTTGTTCTTTATTTTATTATGCTTTCGGATTCCGGATTCCGATCATTACTTGCTCTGCATTTAATATTTAACGCTCGCTCTCTCTCTCTCTCTCTCTCTGTATATATATATATATATATATATATATATATATATATATATATATGGTAAGAATAAAATCTGAAGTTTAACATAAACTAAATGCTTAAAATAGAAAATAAACTAGATGCCAAAGTCGACAGAGCCTAAATATAATACAATGATAATATTAATTCAATTATACCAAAATACGCTTCTCAGAGTTTCAGGTAATAACAATCATCAGGCGGAAATACATATTTCCGCCTGATGATCTAATATTATTGAATTAATATTAATACACACAATAATAATATATATATATATATATATATATATATATATATATATATATATATATATATATATACTCAAACACACTCACACATACGTATAGAGAGAGATAGTTTTCTGTTTTGCAATTTTTGGCTCTGATTATTTGGCACTGTGGGCTTTTCTTATTTTCGTTTTGGGTGTTCGCGACTGGTAAATTTGTTTTCTTTTTGTTGTTTTTGAATATTTGGTCGTGTTTAGCTTACCTCTTCTCTCTGTATATATATATATATATATATATATATATATATATATATATATATATATATGTGTGTGTGTGTGTGTGTGTGTGTGAATATGCCTAATTTTCAAATTTAGCAGCATCCTTCTTTCACATAAGAATTTATAAGTCATTCCAGCCTAATGAAGCCTACTCTAAGGGGCACGACTTGTAATTGAAGAGCTTCTTACATCATTATCCTCACATTTGTTCGAATATTATTCTACAGCTTATATTATTCTTACCATAGATGTCAGTGTATGAGTCTGTTCAAGATCATGACTTCAACCTAAAACTGGTATTGAGCTGAATAACAGAGACAAGGTCTAATCCAGTGTATTGTTCCTTCGAACATTATATACAATTAAATATTTTTATTATGCATAAATGCACTGTAAGCAGTTAGTATGAGCATATTTCATGATGATTTTGCGTGTAAAGGAAAATCGATATTTCAATTGTTTAATTGATATTTAAATTGTTTAAACTTTTAAATTGTCCTCGTCTGTGTTAAATTATAAATTTTCAATACATTCGCATGTATTTTAAGCACATATGCATATGCATTCACATGCCTGCTTTTTGTTCTTTCCAAGCCTTATATATATATATTCAATAAAAGAATGATTCTTTTAAAGATATAACAATGAATCTGGGCGATTCATTTACATTAAAAATTCGTTAGAAACGCTTGTCTGTTATATTCATGTTGAAGAAGCTAAACCTGATATCACGAATTGGTTGCAATGTTATCTACGGTAATTTTTAATTTATTTCAGTTTCATCTGTTTTATTCATTTGATCAGTTTAATGTTTCTTAACATCATTTTAACAATTTTACCAACAACCTATTATTTATGAGATTCTGTTGTTGGCGGGAATAGTTGGAAATTTACGTTGAATGCAACTCAAATTATTTTACACTTGTCAAAACAAACGTCAATACAAAAAGTGATATCACTGAGAAAATTGAGTAAGAAATATTTGCGATATTATGATCCGCTGATGGAAAGTATCCAGCAGATATGGTGACTATTCAATCAAAAGAAACATGCTGATGAATCCTAATGAAACCCAGAATATTCATGAAATGTAAATTAAGACAGACACAAACGGCTGTGATTGGCCGATGACACGTCGCGACTGTTTGCGAAGAAGACTTGATTCGGAGTGGATAGAAAAAACACGTCTCAATAAACATTTGTCATTCGTGAAGGGTACCAGGAGACTGATTTGAAAAGGATGGCGTGAGCATGGTTGACATGAATCGAAAAAAAAAAAAACAAACAAAAAAACAATGTAATACATTCTCTAAAAACGATTGCATTGCTTCTATCCCAAGTTATTTATCTTTAAGTTAAGTGTTTATCTATTTTTTTGAGTTTATCTATGACGACCTTCACATCACACTTTGTTTGTAATTCGAGAAATATTTTCGTGAAAAAAACAACAAATGTCTGAATTTGAACAAACATTACTCGTCTTACTTGATGATACGTTGCAACAGCAAGAAGAAAACAGTGTAAATCACACGCAATCCCGTATTGTGAATTTAACACAAGTATTAGAGAACAGAAGAGATCATGTTCTTTTCAAATCGTCGAGATTGTGTATTTAGAATCATAAGTAAGAGAAACTCGAGAGGAATTTACGATTTCATACAAAATCACGTTCTCAGTTTGCCTTGATTATAATTCATAGATACCGCAATTATTTCACATTTTAGCACTGAAAATTGCAAAGTTAATTTTGGCTAAATTCAGATATGTCTAATACACATTATTCTTACATTTATTATTTCGCAAACTTATTTTATACTAGTTTAATGTTACATTTGAATTTATAGTAATATTTAAATAATTTTATAAATGTATTGCTTACATTTTTGTTTGAATAACTAAGCGTTTTTATCATTATAATTAACTATACATTCGCATGACAGAAAGGATTGTTTTTAAATTAATTAAAAGTAAAAATCTTAAAAAAATACTAACTCGAGAAATGCTACCTTATTATTGTTGGAAAATGTATCTCCTTACCATAATTCGATGACTAGCATCTTCAAATGTCAGGCCAAAAACTAGAGACATTCTTTCACTTCGTTCTACTTGTAGAATGTATTCAGCTGTATGACGTGTGTAGCGTAATAGGTAAATAGCTGGTGTATCTGTTATGATAAAATGCTAAGAATTGATTGCAATTCACTGAATAAAGCGCGATAAACAGTCATTGATCAGACTTGGACAATTATATACTATAGATATACTGGAATATAAACGCACATATATCACTTTTTACTCCTAACACGTATAAAGTAAGTATAATTTAATCAGTTCCAGGCGACCATGTTCCAAGGCAGCACTGCTGCTATTGCATTTAGAGATGATCGGGGTCAATTCCTGATGCATTATGTTTCTCAGAATGAAACAAATTTGCTAATAATTACATCCCCGCGTGGGATCCCGACTTTAAATAAGGCCATGTACCACATTCCTTTCGAGTGAGCATGAGCCACATTGAATTCATCTATATGTCTCTTTTACATATGCATAAACATATTTATGACTGTATATATGAGGGTAAATCAGAAAGTAAAGGTAGTTTTAAAATTATGCGGTGAAACCAACCGTGAGGCGCTGATGCGTATCACCATGTGTACACATGGGATAAAGGGTAGCTAGCCGTGGGCAGCATTTTATCGATCAGTAGAGTGACAAAGAGCTACAAAGTCTGATTTATGAACGCCCCATTCAGTGATTGCAACATCGAGGAACAACGCGCCGTAGCGCACTTTCTGTTCTGTTAAACTTGTGGAAACCCATCACCGGATGTTGGTAGAGTACGCTCTATTAAAAGTATATAAGTGCGGTAAAACGCTTTAAACCGGGAGGAACAAATGTAACCGACGAAAGTCGATCTGGTCATCGTTCACGGAAGAACGCCTCCATAGGAAGACAGGCGAATCACGTTAGCACAAGTGGTGGCAATTTGGGACTTATGGTTCTTCACAAGCCATAGTGCATGATGACTTGGGCTATCCGAAAGTGTGTGTGTGTTGGCTTCCCAAACAAGCAAGGGGTGTAGACGTAACTTCGTGAGAACCCGAAAAGCTTCTTTTCGGAAGGGTGGAAGAATGTTTGATTGATTTGTTTGTGTAACGGCATATCAACTTATGGGTCATTTGATACCGAAATTTAATTTTCTAGGGAGCTTTGATGTAATACAAATATAATTTACGTTATTCTGCTTTCACAGTTGAATACATGGTAAATGATACACAAAATTTGTGCGTATACATGTTTGTGGTTACTAGACGTAGAGATGTGTGTGCTTTATGTTGTAGGTTTCTTGAAGTTATATTTTGGAATGCAGTGTGATTTCTTTAAGAAATTGCAGGATAATATAGAAATTAATGTCATGAAAGAGTTATTTCGTGTTGGATGTTTGTTTCGTTGATTCTGTTTGCCGGCGTATCAACCGCTATGTGTCATTTAATGCTGAAATCTAAATATTTTGTATGTAATTTTATGCTTTCAGATATTTTG